TACAAAGTAAAAATAAATGTACAACATATTTTTTAAATACTCCCGCCCAATAATAAAATTAAAAAAACAACAATTTCATTTTAAGCAATAATACAAGTACAAATAAATTTCATATTTTAAAGCAAAAAAATCAATGTACAACTACAATTTAAAAACTAACGCCCAATAATACAAATGTAAAACATAAAATTTATACAAAACGCCAATAATACATGTACAACATACAATTTATACAAAAGGGTAAAAATTTAAATTGTACAACATAAAATTTTCAAAACTAAGTCAAAAATAAAAATGTACAACATAAAATTTATACAAAACGTAAAAATACAATGAAACAACAAAACAATTTCATAAAAAATCAATACTACAATTTTAAAAACAAAACAATTTCATACAAACTAAAAATACTAAAGTACAACAACAATTTCATATTTAAATTTTCAAAAACCACAATGTACAAAAAATAAAAATTTTCATACAAAAGGTCCTACTAAAAGGTTAAAACATAAAATTTATACTAACGTCAAATACTACAATGTAAAAACAATTTTCTTTACAAAAAGTAAATACTAAAAAATTAAACAACATAAAATTTTCTACAAAGTAAATGAATACATTGTTCAACATCCCAATTTTCAATATAACGCCCAATACTACAATGTACAACATAAAATTTCAAAACTAACGCCCAATACAAACCAATGTACAACAAAACCAATTTTTCATACTAAAGTAAATACTAAAATTTTGTACAAATTTAAATTTTCCCCTTTTACTAAAGTAAATTACTACAAGTAAAAAACCATAAAATTTTTCAAAACAAAAGTCAATCCCTTAAAAATGTACAACTTTTTTCCCCTATGTTTACCCCTCACCCCCATACCCTTATTTTTTGGCCCCCCAATATTTTTTTTAGTAAACCCTTTCCCTTTAAATTTGACCTTGGATGTTTTTTAACTTTTTTTTTTAATGCCTACCCAAACTCTAATTGCATTTTTTCCCCTTGTTTTTGCTTTAAAATAACTTAAACCCTAAAAGGGGAAACCAGCCCCCAGGGTTTATGTTTAAAGTACAAAGGGAAGTTATTATAAGTCCCCTTTTGACTAAAATTTAACATAACCTAAAAAGAAAAAAAACGCTCATTTAAAGGGGGCGTTTACTTTTAAAAGGGTAATGATAAACCCATTTTTTCCCCTAAATTTTTGTTTCAATCATTTTTTCCCTTTTTAATCAGGGCAAAATTTAAAAAAATTATTTGCGCAAGTTTTTTTGGGTTTTTAAAAATTTTTTAAACTTCCCTTTTTTGAGTCCAAAGAATCAAACCCTAGTTTTTATTTACGTGAAAGTGAATCAAGTTGCATTTTTTATATTGTCCCATATAATCTTGGAATTTTTCACAATGTTCAAGAAAAAAAAAGGGGAAATTTTCGGGTTTTGACGGGAAAAAAATTTTCCCTCTGTCCGGTTGAGTTTTTCCTTTTTTTGTTACGGGGGAAACAAATATCCCGCCAGTTTTTGTTTAAAAAAGGGAAAGTTTTTTTGATTTTTTTTTCAGGGAATATGTAAGGGGTCGTTGCAAATACCCAAACCTTCGGGTTTTGAAAAGAAATTTTAGTGAATTTTTTTTGGAAATTAAAAACAACAAAAGAAGTGGAAAAGGGGGGGGAAACCCTTTATTTCAAAATAGTTTAAACTGAACTTACCTGTTTTTTATCGGGTTTTATTTACTATTAATTTATTTTTTCATTTTTTCACCAAAAATTTATCAATTTTTTTTAAAAATGCCCGAAAAAATGAAATTGAAAAAATTCAAACTTTTTAAATAATATTTCGTTTCAGCAGAAAACCGGGGCCCCTTTTTTACAAAAAATGTGCTCCCGCTCTAATTTCGTATTTTGAAATATTTAAACATTTTTTTTTTTTTTTTTTTTTTGGTTATTTTGGGTTTTTGGGTTCATTCTTTTTGCTGCCAAACTTTTTCTAAAAGGGTTGGTGGCTGATTTGGGGAACGTTTTTGTGCTTTCGTCCCAAACCCGGCCGTTGTCGGATTTTTTGGTCTTGCCCGGCCTTTCGCTAACGTTTGTCCCGGCCAAAGGGTTGCTTTTGGTCGTGTGGCGTGTTTTTGGGCAAATTCACATTTTTCCGCTCGGTTTCAAATCTAAGGGTTTTGGTTTAAAAACCCCCAAAGAGTGGGCAATCGCGACAACGCGTCGTACGACAAACCGCCATTTGCCGTGTTTCCCGGGCTATATACAGTACGCTCACCCCCGGGTTTTTTGTTTTTTCCGCGATACCCCCGGGGAAAACGTTTTTTTTTTATCGGGGAAACAAACGGGGGGGTTCGTCCGCGATGAAAGTTTTAATTTCCCCCCGCGATCCCCGGTGTTCAGTTTTTCCACCGCGGAAAAAAATTCTGCCCGCCCGTTTTTCCCATTCGCCCGATAAAACCCAGTCACCCTTTTTCCCGGGGGGGGAACCCCCGGGTCATTTTGGTTTTTTAAAAATTTAACCTCCAAAAATAATAGACTTTTTATTATTTTTTTAACTCATCTTTTTACACAATGACTTGAAAATTTGACCACAATCGTCTCCTTAAATGTTATTTACGTTAAATTTTTTGAACGAACATAATTACCTGTACCGTTTTTTTTTGGGTTTTTTTTAAAATATTTTGTTAAAAACGACCACAAAACTTTTCGTCCACATACCAATATTTTACAACTGAAATCGTCTTTTATCACTGTCATTTTTTCTTTTCTCATTCCTTGTAGTTCTCAAAGTATTATTGCTGTTAAACTATATGGAGCCATAAATATGATACTTAGTATAAAAAAGGACATTTGTGCTGATTTCTCAATGATGACTGACGCTACAGTACATGTCCTGTAAGAGGTCGATGAGTGTGAATACAAGACAAGACATAAATAAAATACATGTACATATCATTCTTAGAAATAAAAGAAAAATATATTTAAACCATCTATAAGATTTTATTTGTATGCGATTATATTCTTTAAAAACGGGTACACTTGTTTGTTTGTGTTTTTTACAGTAAAAAATCGACATGAGAAATAGTTTTTGTATACTGTACATACCGTATATTTGTTTGACACAAATTTACCCATTAAAAAAATAATAATTAGGCTGCCTTTTACAAATCATAAAATTACATTATTATCCTCGGAATTAATTTCAATGAAAACTTAATACAATAAATACAAGAAAGCAAAGACAATTACGTTCAATTGTATGTACTTAAAACTACATGTTGTCTACAAATACTATTATTCCCATGAACAATAATATCTTAAGATTTAAAAATAAAATGAAATATTTTTAAAAATTTAAAATCGTCGATGGAAGTTCTTAGAAAATAACTGCCATTTGTTGTTTGCCTTATATAACTGTAGTACATTTCTGTTCATAATAAAATAACAAAAAGTATAAAGTCAAGTTAACAAAATTCTGCAAAAAAATCTATAAAAAAGTAAAAAAGAACAAACAAACAAACTACTAAAACAAAAAAGAAAATAGACTTCAACAGTTGATACCCAAAACTTCAAAACATATACATTACGCTCACCCCTGTAATTAGAAAAATTAAAAGATACATTTAATGTATTTTTTGAAAATAAACCTTTCTTTTATGTTCCAAAATAAAATTTTAAACTTTATGATCAACATGCAAAAAAACAAAATGTAAAAACGCATGAAAGAGACGCCCTAATATTGCCTGAAAAATTGTTGGGGGTTACGTTTTCAAAGTTTTTAAATCAGAAAAAAAGCTGGCATATAAATTTTGTAGTATTTTTTTCCCATAAATGCATATCCCAAATTTTTCATTATTTTTTTCAAGTTTCCTACCCATGAAGTTGCGACGCAATGTTTTTATCTTGATGTCAAATACTATTAACATTACCCAACACAATAACAAGAAAAAGAAAAAGAAATATGATTTGTACATGTATTTTTTAAAATAAAAAAAAAACAAAAAAATTTTACATTAGTTTATGTACAAAAATGTTCAGACGTACGTATACTGATTTTTAAAACAGTAATTAATTTTTAAAATTTTTAAAGGGGTTTCCAGCGTTTCCCGGGTTTTTGACCGCCCGTTCCTCCGAAATTTTTTCCACTCGTTCCCCGGGGGGAAAACGGTTTAGCCGCCGATTTATGTCGCGGGGGTAAATTTTTCTCTCCGGGGTTTTCCGCGGACAATACCGAGTAAATTTTCTTTCCGGGGAAAACCTTTCATCCGCGGGTCACGGGGGTTTTTTAAAAAAGTCGCGTGAGCGTACTGTACAGGACGACAAAACGACAGTGCGACAACGCGCCGTTTGGCGCTTTGTCGTGTTGTCGCTAGCTACAAGACGAGAAGGCGATAACGATATAGGTTGCGTTGTCGCTATCGACAACGCAACGCGCAATGTACCAAATCAGCCACCATACATAGGCGACACTAATTTGTTACAATAATAATGTGGACGCTGACTGATATTTTTATTGATTTTTGTAGTGTAGTATTTAGAAAATAAACTGACATTTTAGAACATGTCTAAAGTACGGACTCGTTAAAGGGCCTTCATGATGTGTAAGTCGACTGATTTTAATTCGAATTAATTAGAAGTTTTAACACAAATCAATAATTTTATTTACAAGGATTAAAAAAACGTTTATTTCGCCGAACATTTTCTCGATACAGTATGCTTGAAGTTTTTATTTATGCGAAAATGTATTTTATTTTATGTCTTTTGTAAAACATTTGTCTTTTGACAAAAATCGCCTTGATGAAAAAACTTCAATCATTTTGAGAAAAGTGACCAAGACTTACAAAAATGATCTAGACTTCGTGAATAAAATGAACTGATTTGTGTTAAATAATCTAAAATCGAACAAAAATCAGTAGGCTTACACCTAATGATCGCCACTAAATGGAGACCCTTTAACGTTTCCGTACTAAAGGAATCAACCAATCGACAATAATTTGAACGTTTCAGGAAGTGGAAAAAAGTCGACATAAACGTATAGATCCTAAAGGGAGCTGGCTAACATTTGTAAATCGTTTAGGAGATAGCAAGCCAGACAGACGGAAACGAAAAAAGAAAAGAAAGAGGAAAAGAAATTTTGGTGAGTTTCGCTTAGTTTTTATTGGATATACCGGGACGTCTATATGTACATTACTAAAGATCATTTGTAGCTCAGGGCCCTTTTCTAGTGTACAATATCTTTTTTCATTTTAGTGGCAAGAGCCAATTTAATAATATACTTCGAATCTTTGAAAGGGAAATAGAATCGAACCAAAAACTACGCGGTTTTAAACTTTCCCTATATCGGACATAGCGTACATTGTCTGAAATGCTTTTTTTATAGTAACACAAATTTTTTTAAAAACCATTAAGAAAAAACATGTTAAGTTTTTGCTTTTAATTTTGCAAAAATGTAATTTCGGTTTCAAAAGAAAAATATAATATTTTCAAATTGTTTTTCCTTATAGTTTCAAACTTTTTAAATATTGGATTTATTTGGTTTTGTCTTACTTGCTTTTTTGAAAGTACTGGTTTAAACTGATGAATTTTTTACAAAACAAAACTTTTTTTTACTTAATTTTTATATGTTAAGCAAAATAAACGGTTATAACGAAAAAGTATTTCTACAAGACTCCGGCTTCCCGATATCATTTTTTTTTTTGGACCGATCATCAATCTTCCGTTTTTCTTAAATTTTTTAAATCCGTCTAAAAATTTTAGATTTCACAATGGAGAGCATGGTGGGCAATGCTATTCAAGGGAAAACAAGATTTTTTTTTATCTTACTTGATTTTTGAAATGATGCCCTCACAATTTTAAAACTCTCATCTTTTTGTTTAATAAAACAGGAGGACCTAATTTATTATAAGAGGACAGATGTGTTTTAATTTGTTTAAAAAAATGACTTGAAAAATGATAACGTTTTGTACTTTTTTTTGTGATTTATTTTTGATTTGAAAGATGAATAACCCTTTTGTCTTGTATGTGTTGATTTATAATGACCAGGGAAGAATATCATTTTGTAGTTTTATGTATGTGACGTTTATTTTGATTTGGAAGATGAATATCATTTTTGCACTTGTTGTATGTTTTTGGAAAATGAATAGAATTTTTTCTTGTAGTATGGATGCTTATAAAATGACTTGAAAGTGAATAAAGTTTTTTACTTGTTTATGTGTGAGCTTATTTTTGATTTGAAAAAAGATATCTTTGTACTTTTTATTTATGTGATTTTTTTTTTTTTATTTTTATTTGGGTTTAAATCCCTGTTTGCTAGAAGCGAAAATAAAACCCCTCCTTCATAGACTTTCATTTTTATTTTGAAGACTTTTCAACTCAAGATTTTAACAAATATTCCAAATTTTTAATGTAAATTTTACAAACAGATGTTTACTCTCTCTGTAAAAAATTAATTCATTTATACATAAAATTTTAAGTCAACGCTATTCATAATATCCAAAACATAAAAAAAGATATAATAAATAAAAACAATCCTTTTAATGTATTTTAAAACAATTTAAGATATATATATTTTTTTATTAATTATCAGTTAGGACCCCCCGGGGGCCCGCAGGACCTCCCCCATAGCCCCGCAGAGAAAATTTTAAAAGAAGAAAACATTCCCGGGCTAGAGCATCTGATAAAAGGTTTTTTAAAATTAAACTTTAAATTTATCTCCAACGAATTCTCGGTCATAAATGCGATTCCCAAAATGACACCAGACTGGTTAGTTTACAGTGATTTAATATAAGTTGCAAGAACATGTTTTACAATCGAGCTTGAATAGATTTGTTTTTTTTTTAAATTAAAATATCGAATTTTTAAAATTTTTTTTCATATACAATCAGGAAAAAAATTTGAAAACCCAATACTTTTTAAGTAAATAAGATCGATGCTCACACACGCGCACACACGCGCGCGCGCACACACACAGAGGTGGGCTTACATGGCGAGGTGAGTGTAGGTATTGGTAGGTTTACCCTCACTTTGTATTGGCTAAAACAACACATTCACCTCGCCATGTAAAGTATACCAGCCCACCTATCTGTGTGTGTGCGTGCGCGCGCGTGTGTGTGCGTGCATCACAGCAATACAACATTTACAGTTTATAGAATGAATGTCATATTACAACGGGTGGACTCAAATGCACGGAGGGATAACTGACATTAAACCAAGAGTATTGTTGTAAACGACGTAAATTTTATTAAACGTTGTGAATCGTTCAAATAATCGCGTTCTTTCACTACATCCTTTAAAAAACAACAACAAAAAACTTATCTTTGTTGTACTTTATATTATAGAAGAAGCCACTAGAAGAGCACAACAAATGTTTGCTGACATGATGAGTGAAAATTTGGTGAGTGATACGCCTTTTACCTGAACTTTTTTGCTACAGATGTTTTTATGGCAATTAGGGCAACTATAGTGATTTAGTGTTTTATATGGAATCATTTCCCCTTTGTTTACCTTTGTTACCCCCTTATACAGCCATTTCACGTTTTTATTACTATTAGCATTGCCCATTTTTGAAGCGGCCCTTTAGTTTTTTAAAAGGTTTAAATTTATTATTTTTTAGATCGATCTTTATATTTTTTGTCAAATCAAAAAAAATTGGTTAAAAAGCTAAAAATAATAAAAAACACTAATGAAAACCCTCGTCCGGGGTCCCAAAAGGGTTTTTTCCCAAACTTCTATTTTTATAAAAAAAGGTCATGCACGTTATTGCTTGGGGAAGGCATGCACTTTTTTTTTAGGTTTTATTGTGGAATATTAGTTTGAAAACAGCACATTTTAGTGCTGACAAACCCGCTCGTATCTATCTTTAACATATTTTGTCAAGCCCCTTGATGTTGGTAAAGAAAATTTTTCGCCCCTCTTCTGGTATCGAAGTCTTTGTATAATTGAAGCTGACTGGGGAACAGATAAAAAACTTATTGGTTCCGAAAAATCGTATTTCCGGAGCCCAAACTCCGGCACCCGGGTTGCTACGGCCTCAAACCCCGTAAGGGGAAATGCGTAGGAATTTCCCGGAGCCTTTCATATTATCAAATTTCTTCTGGTTTCCCCAAAATCCCAAACCCTTGGTCCTCTTCTTTTTTTTGTCTATATCAATATATTTTTTTGATATAAAATTTCCAATATTAACTATTTGCCCCGGAAAACAAGCCCGTATAATTGTGGAAAATCTGTCAACAGCTGCGAATATTTTTAATGATATCTGAAGAAAGTCAATAATTGGGTGGGGGGGGGGAATGGCAGGTTACTTTCAACCAAATAAATGAATATTA